GTACATACTAACATAATTGATCCAAGAAGTACTTTGCAATGTTCTTTCCAGTTTGAAAGATGATTTTTTCCTACCTGAAAGATTTACTCATTCCTTTCACTCCTGTGTTATTTCACTTCTGACCTTATCACATGCTTCCCCAAGTATCTGCTATTGACTTTAGCTCTACCATGCACTGCAAGACAAAGTGGGTACTCAAAAAACAAGAAGAAGGCAGCTGGCTGCTGGGTAAGAGTGAAGACCACCTGGTAAATTATAGGGAACATATTAATAGGATGAGGAAGGGAGATCCCAAGAACATCTATTTGAGTGGGCTTGAAAGAAGCCAGACTTTAAATCTTGAGAGCCTTGTAAAAATGCTTATAGGAAATATTCATTAGCTTACTGGGGTAACTGTCACCCCTTTGTACAGTATCTTTACAATAATAAATTATATATTATATTATATATATGCACATAAATATGATATATAAAATCTCAAGAGCCATGCTCCAGGGCTGGTTTAGCAAGTGTGGACTTCTGGCTTGTGAATTTCAAGTCCACACAGACTTCAGGTACTGGAATACATGGAATAGCGGTCTCAAACCAGAATTGTAGTTTGGCTTACCCTGACCTTGGTTGTAAGGGAATGAGCTCCTGGCTGAAAGCTAGGGTAAAGATGTGGGAACAGAAGGAGATCAAGGCTGCTTTTTATGAGGCTTATTGGCAAGAAGGAAGAGTTTATAGGCTCAGCCATGAACCTGAATTAGTTCTGGGACCTTGGTGAAAGTCTGAGATACCCAGACTCCAGAGAAGGGCTGACTCTGTGGGAAAGATGCTGGGGGAAAGGGGAGAGGGTGGCTGGGATAAGGTGGAGAGTCTTTTTTTATTGTCGGTCATGGGGCTTGAAATCTGGGCTTGGGAACTGTCCCTGTGCTCTTCAGCTCAAGGTGAGCACTCTACAACCTGAGCTACAGCACCACTTCCAAGGTGGAGAGTCTTCAGTGTCTTCAGGATGATCCAAAATCCACTGGAGACACTTGCATTTTTTTATTGTGAAAATACTGTACAGAGGGGTTACAATTACATGAGCAAGGTAATGAGTGCATTTCTTATCAAACATTGTTGCCTCCTCTGTTTTCCTTTCCCTTCCCTACCCTCCCATCTCGGTATAATGTCTTGTACATCTCATTGTTACAATGGATCAACCTGTATCCCTATTTAAATAATTTGTTTTTTCCCTTTCCCTCCACAAATTATACCAACATCAAATACAGTGACAACAAGGGTTATGCTGTGAGGGAGGGGCATACAAAGCAACAAAGAAATCATCTTATAAATACACTAGAACCAATAGCAAGAAAGAAAAACCATTTGAGTCCTTATATTGGGGTTCTTTCCTCCCAACATCAACTTATTTGACCATTTCTGCTTGTCTCAGACATATACTAGTTATTGCAAAAAAGGGTAACCATGGGACCTATGTTTCTTTGGGCCTGGCTTACTTCACTTAATATAACTTTTATCAGAATAGAAAGGAGGACTATTGTTTAATAGGGATACAGGAGGACCCATTGCAACAATGAAATGCAGAAGATGCTATGTTGGAAACTAACTTTACAATTTTGATCGGGGGGAGATGGGAGGGCAAGGAGTGTGGCTTGTGCCTGTAATCCTAGCTACTCAGGAGGCTGAGATCTGAGGATCATGGTTCAAAGCCAGTTGGGGCAAGAAACTCCTATCTCCAATAAAACACTAGAAAACTGTAAGTAGCACTGTAGCTCAAGTGGTAGAGTACTCACCTTGAGCTGAAGAGCCGAGGGACAGCGTCCAAGCTCAGAGTTCAAGCCCCACGATCGACAAAAATAAAAAAGAAATGTACTCATTACCTTGCTCATGTAATTGTAACCCCTCTGTACAGTATTTGCACAATAATAATAAAAAGGAAAGCAGTACTTTACATTGAAATGAATGCAGAAGCTATATGACTATTTTATATGCAATGAACAAGTTATTAAAATATTAATAATAACAATTTCAATTGTGTAACTGGTCATTTTAAATTTTGATCTGAAAAACCACACTAGGGCACAATGGATAGTCACCACCACATGGCCTTTCCTCACTCTCATCCTGAGCATCATGAAGATCAGGATGCAATCTGTGTCCTTGAGGACAAGCAGTGACCTGCTCACTGCAGAGGACTCTGGGAACCCACTAGAGTCAGCACTGACACTGCAGCCTCTTCTCATCTCCCACAACTGAGCATGGTGTGTGCATATGTTCTCATGAGAGCTGCATGTCTGCAAAGTCCACCCTCCTTCCCTCACCTTGCTGACCTGTACGTAATGAGTTCCCTATAAGAATTATGGTGGAAGTGTCAGCCTTGTAAAGTGTTTACACTTTACAAAACAAAATATGGAATTGTCAGCAACCTGTACATTAGGAAACTTGACCCCTCCCCCCCCATAATTATAGTCCCAGTTGCCATGAGTGTCGTGAAAGCATGGCAGAATGTTCCCCAGCTTCAAACTCCTTTTTACATGGGGGCAGGGTCACCCATGTTTTTCCAGAGTTTCTAAAGTCAGGGATCAGTTCTTGTTCTCTTTGTTGGGTTTCTTTTCCAAATAGTGGCAATGTCATGACATATCACCTGGTAAGATTTTCATTTGAATTTCTGGGTTTTTTTTTTTGTTATGTTACATGATTATCTCAACAGTTATGCAAGAGAGTCTCAGTAATTTTATATGAAAAATTATGCCATTTTATTTATATTACATTTAGATTAGATCAAAGAAGTTTTTCTTGATGTTGGCTGATTCCAGTTTAAATAATTACCAGTGCCCTGACTGTTCCTGAAAGTGATGACTCTGTCTCCTAGAGATGCAGACAAGGATAGAGAGTGGTTCCGCTGGATGTCACATCTAACACCTGGCATTGAAATCATTAAAAAACAAACCTATAATTATGCATTACTGTGTTGGTTACAGTGAGCTGGGTGAATCTATGCATTTTCTTCCCTTACATGTGAGTCAGAGCAGCAGGAGACTCAGGAGCTGAGCAGATGACTTCCTGTCAATGTTGTATGATGATTGGGAGGATTGATTTCTGCATAAGGTATGAGCTGCCTTACAAGAAGGGCTCTAAGCAGTGGGCTGTGCTATGGGCATGGACAAATCAAGGTCTGGGAGGGAGGAGCACAGATGCAAGGCTAATTGACTTTAGTATCTCAGCACAGACCTGTATTCTTCAAGGTGTCCTAGACATGACCAGGGTAGCACAGCTGTGCTTGCAGAAGATGTTTTTCCATGGAGTCCAGAGAACCAACTGAATTCACATCCTATAAATAGAGTGAATTGTGATTTAATTGTTGTTCATGACATGCTTTTCATACTAACTTTTTACCTAAGCCAATCTTTTCAGGGAAAAATAGATCCAGAAATGTATAATTCATTGTTTTGATTAGATTTCCTATTTAAATTATTTCTATAAACTTTTTATTTTATTTATTTTTGGGTGGGATCCGGTTGTGGGGCCTGAACTCTGGGCCTGAGCACTGTCCCTCAGCTCCTCAGGTCAAGGTTAGCGCTCTACCATTGAGCCACAGCAACACTTCCGGCTTTTTTCTTTTTGCTTATGTGGTGCTGAGCAATCGAACCCAGGGCCTCAGGCATGCAAGGCAAGCACTCTATCACTGAGCCACCTTGCCAGCCCTCTATAAATTTTTAATTGTTAACTATGAACACAATTATACCTTTGCTCAGAGATGTAACAATATTTCAGACTGATGATAGCGGGCTGGGAAGGTGGCTCAGTGGTAGAGCGCTTGCCTTGCATGCCTGAGGCCCTGGATTCGATTCCTCAGCACCACATAAGCAAAAAGAAAAAAAGCC